CCGGCTGGGAATGGGTAGATGATATTATTTATGTTACCATCTATAAAAGAAAACATTGTTAGATATTTCAGAATTTGGGATAGATTTAAATCAAATGAACAATAAAACTTACGTTCATCATAACGAGTTTGTAAATCATCATTATGTCGCCAGTTTCCATCAACCACAAATTTAAATTCATGCTGTTTAGTGCGGTCAATCTCAACAACAGCAACGAAATCATTTGTTTCAGGTGAAAAATGCATTTCATGAGCAGTTGCTGTATAAGTACAAAAAGATAATAAATGTGTATGAAATTATTAAAACCTAAGTGTAATGCATTATTAGACGCGTTTAATACTTTACCTTGCCAGTTATCAAAATCACCAGTAACGAAAACTCTGTTTCCGCCATGTCGCCAATGGAACTATATATCAAAAATAAATACAATTAAAAATACAATTAAAAATCCAACTCACTTGAATAATTAATATACGTTTGTATTTTTACTTACTTCAATAGGTATAATGTTTAACTCATTAGTTTTAATTAAAGCTATCTTCTCTTTCAGTTCACCAAAAGTAGTGGTGTCGTCTTTAAGAATGTTCTCAGTTACTTTAACGTCACGTACAGTTGGTTCACTTGAAACAGACGTTTCGCTGTCCGGTTTCAATTCTGAAAGAGTACCAGTGATAATATTCGCGGTTTTAGACCCTGGGGAGATGTGAGTCACAGTTTGACTAGAATCATTGACAACTTCTGGGATTGCTCTGTCCTTTTTCAATTTCTTTGATTTGTCCTTTTTAGCATGCTTTTCATCGATAGATGCTTTTTTTACGGTTGGTTTATCTTGAACTTTGAGCCCCTTTCCTTCAACGAGGGATACCAAGCATAATAAAGCAAATAAAATTAACTCCAATGTCAAGGTGAAAATTTTATCAGCCCAAAAGATTGGGGACAATTGTTTTGGAAGAGCCATTTTGATTAAAGGGAATAAAAAGAAAGGCAAGTAAAAAAAATATTAATCGTTTTGCTTCTCAAGATAATAATATTAAAAGTTGGAGTATTATCTTTGATTACAGGTTAGAAAATAATCGAGGGGAAGCTTTATACGTTAACACAATCAATTGGAATACACATATTAAGATACTATTAAGATACTATTAAGACACCAACTTTCTTTTTATGTACAGCAGTTTATCACAATGTCTCCATTCATTACCCAAAAGAAAACCCCGCATTTCGCATTTCAGTATAAATGATAAATTAAAAAATCCTAATTGAAAAGCCAGATTTTGCAAATGTTTACTATTTCATTGAGATGCATTTCAAACAGGCTGAGATATTTTTGATAACGAAAGAATAGGGATTAGTAGCACAATTATAGATACACAGATAGGCTGCTTCATTTCATTTGTTAATTGAGTGACATTATTCTTTTTGGCTTTTTGATCTTTAATTAATATTACTATTTCAGTTTACAAAGCAGTATCAAACAAGTCGCCGA